GAATAAAGAATCAGCCAAAAAATCTATTGTAGGTTTTTGTTACCTTTTAGCTGGAATAAGAAACAAATTTGTGAATAATTTTAAATTAGACCTTGGGCTTTATTTAGAAGAAAATGGAACCAATGCTGCTGCACTTGATACATTATCAAATGCTAACCTTTCTGCTTGTTACAAAACTATTCAGAATTATAAAAAAAACATTGCAGAAAATCATCAAAAAAAAGTTGAAACATATTTTACCAATTATCTTCCATATATGCATTGTTTTAATATTGATGATTTTCATTCCATCCATGAATGGAGAAGACCTGATTCCACAACACTATCTTCTGCAGTACATATGGCAACATGTGTTGCAAAAAGAATTGACAATGTTTGGGCAGTTCCTGCTAATTTTAATAATGTGCCTATTTTCAATCCAAATAATATTGACTATTCATTAATAAACTCAAAACTTATTAATGATTATAAAGGAATCTTTGATATAAGTTATAATAATATAAAAATACAATGGGTTAAAGATAGAATTATTGATGGTAGAAATTTTGATTGTGTTGAAGTTTTAACTATTCATATATATAATGCAGATACTGAAGAAAAAAAAGAAGAAAGGTCAATGGAGTCAGTAAAGATAATAAATATAAAACAACAGAGCCTTCACTCATTGGAAGATTATTTGTCAGCATTAAAAATGATAACAAGTATAAATAGTTTATCAGAATATATTAAAAAAAATGTTATACCTGTAATTGCTGACTATCCAGGACAACTCTTTTTTAGAAAAGCTATTACACTACATTCAAAAAATTTATTAAGTAATATTGATGGGATTGAAAATGTTGTTCCAATATTGGGTCCATTGCATGTTTCTTTGAATTCAAGGGAATGTGTTGTAAAGATACATTATGATTTCTTTAAGAAACTATTCTGTACAGTATTTGAGAAGAAAAAATTCCCCCAAAAGCCTAAACCATGGCGCATTAACCTTCTTCTCCAGTTGGCTCATGATGGATGGATGGAAATTTCAAAAGATATATTAGAAAAATTTAATAAAACAAAAGATGTGGAATATAGAATGGTGATTGATCTATTAGATAATATTATACCAGCTACCTTGGATATATACACAATTCTTTTTTGATCTGGAGCTTTCGAACAATACCTTGAAACAATTTTTCGCATCTGGACATTTTTTTTAAGATGGGGAAGAAAAAATTACAACAAAATTCCTCTTGCTTTTTTATCTGATTATTTTTATTGGAAGCAAAATAATCATCCATTTGCAAAATTGTTAGAGAAATCATTAGTAAATTTTAATGATTATTTTGTTGAAAACATACATAGCAAAATAAGAGCACATACAAATAAATTTTCCTCTCCTGAATCAATAGTACAAGAAACATTTATTATTGATTCTTGTAAAAAATCACCATTTGTTGATGCCTTTTCCAAAAATAAAAGATATCCATACACACCAGCACATTTGGATTATCTAACTAAAAAAACAAGCTGCTTTTTAATAGAGTATTTTTTCAATATTTATAAAAATTTAAATAC